AATCTTTATTATGCATGTTTTATAGGAGGGCAATTGCCCCCTTCACTCAAGGTGAACCAACTAGAAGGAAGTACCGAAGTACGAAGCAGCAATCGTTAACTTGCTCCCTTTAATTATTTTAATTTGTTTATTAACTAATTTTGTAAATTAGTTGACATATATGAAATAAAACGTAAAAACAATTAGATAGAAAAGAATCCATATTACAAATAGAGCTACAAAACTTCAGTAAAAAAAATAGTTACAAAACTAATTTGGTTTGACTTATCAGTCAATCTTTTTATCAAACTATTTTAAACCAATTATTTTAGCAAATTTGTTTAATAATCAAAATAAGTGCGGTTGAAATTACTTTTTTTATTATTAAGAGGCCGTTTGGAATCACTGTTTTTCGGCTTATCAGGCTTATCAGCAAATTTTTTCACCAAACACGTAACTTTTGCTTTCTCGCGCTGAATTGTGTAATAAACATAAAAAGTAAGGTTGAAGTTACTTTTCTGGCTGTTTTGGCTGAAGTTACTATCGATGATCATTTTAGCTATTTTTACATACTAGTATAATTTTTTCTTTATTTTATTAATAAAATATATTTTAATTTTTTTCTTAAATCAGCAGAATCAGCCAATGCAGTCACTTCAGCCAGAATTTCATAAATTTCAACAAAATCAGTCAAATCAGTCGATTTTTGTGCTACCAAACGGGGCTCTAAGTGCGGTTACTAAGAAAATTGACGAGATTGTGTGATTAGAATTAAGTTGATAAAATGTGAATAATGTAATAAAGTTTTGTAGTCGTTCAAATATTAACAAATATGATATGCGACAAACTTAAGATGTTTTTACTTGGACTTAAAAAAGGCGAACCAGCCCGTCCGGTCCGGGCCCGATTCGGGCTTTTTTGTGTGGGCTTGGGCTAGGTTTGGGTGGGCTGGGTTGGGTGTTTCCGAGGGGTTTGGGGATGGGGGATGAGGGGGTAGGGGTTGAAATAAATAAGAAAACAAAAAACAAATTGAACCGGGAATCGTACCACCCGGGACCGGCCCAGAACCGATAGACCCCCAGGCCGGTTCCGGGCCTTACTCAAAATATTCCAGGCCCGGCCGGGCCTAGGCCTAAACTGGAACCGGACCGGGCCCGGTCCACCACTACGTATATGCTTGTTCATTTTGAAAGGTCAAAAGAATAATTAAAAAGTACTGCCTACTATCTAGTACTCCCTCCGGTTTTATTTAATCTTCACACTTTGACTTCACACAAAATAAGGAAAGAAATTTGACTTTACTGTAGAGTACACTGTTGAGGCACTGTTTGACACTGTTTGGCACTGTAGAGACACTGTTTGGCACTGTTGAGACACTGTTTCGCACTGTTTGGCACTGTTTTGATGTAGATTTCTTTGCCAAAAAAGGAAATAAGGAAGTGTGAAGTTTATTTTAGACCGTCCCAAAAAGGAAAGTGTGAAGTTTATTAAAAACCGGAGGGAGTATCTAGTATAGAGAAATGCTTAGTATACAGTCCACAAAGTGCACACAAAATCTCACTAGTTGCTTGTGTACACATGCAATTCGTTTAAAAAAAGGCAGGATTTGATGCCAAATTGTCTGTTTACACAGGCAATGTACAAATTTTGTGTACATCTTGTGTACGCCAAGAATGGTCCGTATAGAGTATATGACCAAAATGAGAATAAATTATAAAAAATGACAATAACTTTAAGTTACTAAAATTATGAGCAGGTAACTGGAAAATTGGCGGATTCAGTTGATTCTACTAAAATTTATGAAGCAGTGGCTGAAGTGGTTGTATTAGCTGATTATGCTGATTTAAGAAAAAATATTTTTAAAAGATATTTTATTCATAAAATAAGTAAAAAATTATATGTATAAATAGCTAAAATTGTCAACTACAGTAACTTCGACCAATATATCCAGTAAAATAACTTCAATCTTACTTTTTGTTGTATGATTACATCATTCACGTGAAAACAAAAGTTTAGAGAAAACATACGATAGTTAAACAAAAAAGAGCAAACGTAGGAGATTAATGAAAATGTAGACACATTCATTTCCTCATGTACAATTTCCAATATTCATTACTCAATAGAACAGCTAAGATGCGAATCAGAAACTTCCCGTAGAATATAATACCAATACCCATCGATTAAGTGTCTGCAAATATCAGAGAAGGGATTGGGAAAGAGGGAAACGAAACCGCGATCGATCAACTAACCGACATACGACGATCAGACGCTTTTGACCGCAGAAGAGTCGGGTCCGGGCGGGATCGGATTCGGATTGAGAGGGGCACGGACGTCGTCGTCGTCGTCCGGGTCGTAATCCGGGTTGAGGTCGCGATCTAGGGCTTGGCGGCCTTTGTCGAGGCAAGGCTTGCAGGCGACCTCGATGGTGATCCAGCCTAGTGCTATGCCAGCAATTGCTATCAACGATGCTGTCAGCGCCCCCATTTCCTCCTCTCTCGGTCTCTGTTTTTAAGTTCGATGAAATTAGGTTGAAGTTATTGTGTTTGGTTAAATGGGTTTAATCGGGCGCTGAGATTGGGAATTTAGAGGATGATCAGAGACAATTTATGGACAAGGAAGGACGAAGAAGAGGTGATTCTGGCTCAGGACATGTTCATTCGGTCTAATGAGCTAATCTATTTTGAACTAATTTAGTACAGGCAAAATTGTACCCCAAAAAGTAAATTGATTCAACTTGACTTCGATTCAAGGCTACTGCTCTAAAGTTCGGATATCCCACTTTTTGGTGATATCAACTATTGTTTATTGCAACTCATTTGTGAAAAATTTGTCATTTCATTTAAAAAACTTTTGACTTTGCACTACAACTAAAAAAATCTTCAAAAAAAAATGTTGTGTTGAGGTGAAAAATGAAAGTTTTTTCAAAATTGGTTGCAAATTCCAATATCATCCAAAAATTGGGTGCAAAGTCAAGTTTTTCCTACTATTTCTTCTAATTCGAATTAAAATCGTGAAAATTTGAATAAAGTCGAACCAAATTAAATATTCAATAAATTCTTAATTTTACGTACTCACTCCGTCCCGTTGGAGGTTCTCATGGGTAAATGGCACGATCTTTTAGACAAATGAATTAATAAAGTAATTTAGGTAAAAAGGAGATGAATAAGAAAATTTAGAAAAAGTAAACAGTGAAAGTAATTAAAGGGAAATAATTTGGGTGGGAATTGTGAAACTTGACATGTAATAATTAGGAAATGGAAATTTGAATAAAGGTGTAATTAAAGAGAGTAAATTATTTTCTAAAATGGAATGAGAACCTTTAAATGGGATACCCAAATAAGAAAAGTGAGAATGTTTCAATGGGATGGAAGAGTATATTTAAAAAAATAACAAACCCAAATTAAAATGAACTAAACAAACTCGAATTGAATCAAACCATAGCACAATATGACTTTCTTTAGTAATTTTTTCTCAATCCGTTTCAAACCAAACCGAATAAAAAACGATAAAAACTGAATTGATTTACCCACTCTTGATAACATTTGATTGAATTTAATTCATTTCAACTTTTATTAACGTTTTACATATTCAATATCACCTACACAATTTCACTTTTCTTAATAATAACATCTCAAATATAGGAGCAGAAGTAGTATTTAGTATTGAGATAAACCCGAGTAAGTCAACAAGACCAAGGTCACCTGGTCACATTTAAAATTAGTGAAATCATTACAGAAATTTAACCATTAAAATTAATTGGTCATAATCATGGTTCTAAAACTCGCTAGGCGCTAGTCGGGCGGTTAAGGGCGCCTAGCGTCTAGGCGGCCGACTAAGCCGATTTTTTGGCCGACTAGGCCGATTTTTTAACCGACTAGGCCTCTACTGTTAGGGCCGCCTAGACCGATTAATCGGTCCGCCTAGGCCAATTTTTAGAACATTGGTCATAATACATAATTTAAAATTTGTTATGCTAACGAAGTAAGTTTAAATGGTTTGATTCTTTCATTTATTTGTTCCTAAAACAATTTTGTATCCACCCAACTATCCAAGAATTAATACATGATATACATTCTATCTATCTCATAAATGTCAAAATACATGTAATTAATACAAAGACAAAATCGCATATATGGTCCATCAGTTATCCACGAAATTAAAATCTCAGACCTGCATTTCTGATATTGTAAATGTCACCCTTCAATTGTCCAAATTGTTGTAAATGTGGTTCTTTAAGTAATAAAATATACTCTCACCCACATTGTATATTTCACCCCTCAAAAGGACCACATTTACAACATTTTGGACAATTGAGGGATGACATTTACAATCTCAGAAATACATATCTGAGATTTTAATTTCGATAACTGAGGGATCATAATATAGGCGATTTTCCCCTTTGTCCAGTATAATCGTTTGAGGCATCAAAATTCAAACTAATAATGTGAAAACTTAACTAAAGATCGTTGACTATCGCTATGAAAAAACGAGCTACATGTATTTAACATTTTAAGTACTATAAATGCAATCAATTAACAATCATGCCTAAATTAAAGAAGTGTAATATTACGGAATATTATTTTATTAGCTTTGTCACACCAAACTGCATGTATGTTATTAATTCTTATATTTCTGCACCTTACAATTAACCATAAATGTTTCAACAGTTTCACATGTTTACTTCTCATGTTGTTATTATGGGTGAAATTACGATCCTTTGTTTTTGTTTTCTTTGGTTAAACTTAACTAAGTCATTAAATGTCACGGATTATGTTAGAGATATTTTTCGCATTATGTTATTTTTGTTGATATTGTTATCGATGTCATTATGATTATTCTTGTTGATTCTACTACAATTATTACTACTCTGTATTATTATTTATAATGGTCCCTTAATGATTATTCTGTATTATCTTTTTAATAGGAATAAAAAATCAAATTCATTAACCATGAATAGAATCTGAACTCTTAACAGTAATAACTCATGTGTAAGAAGTATTAACATTATGTGAAGCCGGGTGTACGAACATTAATTGAGCTCTTTAAATTATCACTTGTCAATAATAATCTAAAAAGTGTCGTATAGTACACAAATTATAAAGTGCTACTGAACTTTAGTCAGTATTATCGAAATATTTAAAAGACCAGTTTTCTTTTACAGTTAAAACTCTAGGTATAATATTTTGGTCATCATTTCAATTTTCACCCCTCTTTGAAGTTAAACATCGTTTACCTGAATGCAAGAAAACCCAAGTATATATAAATAGATGATGCTTTGATTGGAATGGCTTAATCTGACTTTTCTGAAAGGAAAAATGATAATATCCTTTTAATACAAGTCAGAAGCTACTTACCCAGTTGATAAGCATAAGAAGCTAAATTAACCAGAACCAAACGGACCTAACCAAAGAGAACCTGTGCACTTGATGGTGATAATTCAGATAGGCTGTCGGGTGTTTCATCCTTAACTTGCCATTGAACACTGAAGCAAAACTCTTTACCACAATCCTTAAGTTGCTTCATAATAAGTCCGATGGCAACCTTAAGGTTATGACCTACAACGATTATCCTATTGTCGTAACAACTGACACAGAAGGGTTTGTATATCTGCTCTGGCAATGGAAGCCCATCGACCGTTTCCCAAGTATCTGTCTCAAAGTAGTATACCTTAACTTTTGCTTTTTCATGTTCCGTAACAACAAACAGGTGACCTTCGATCACAACACTCGAACCGGTCCAACCTTCTCTAAGTCCACAAGGTACACTCTCCCAAGTATCGGTTTTCGGGTCATATGCTTGTCCCATAGGAACAACATAAAAAGGCCAAAACCATCCTTCCGTTATGAAAAGCTTCCCATTCATAACGGCTGAATCGTATGAGGAAAGATACATTCCTATGCTCGAAACAGGTTTCCATGTCCCGTTATTAGGGTTTAGGACTTCGGCTGAGTTGAGCTCGAATAGCTCCGCTCCATTTCCACCAGCGACATATATCATCCCATTGATAAGTCCGATTCCGAAAAAGGAGCGTGGGGTGATCATACTTTTCATGACGGTCCAACGGTTAGTCTGGAGCTCGTATCGGAGTACCAAGTTAAGCGGATGATCTGTATCTGAGACCAATCCACCACAAACAAACATCACACCATCATGGGGAAGGGAGACACAACGGAAGCCATGTGCGGCAGCGTTTTCTTTGCATGGCATAGACGGGATTGTATGCCAAGAAAAGTTGGTTAGGTCGAGCACCTTCCATTGGATTTTGGCAGTGTGTTTGTGAAAGGCCATAACGAAAAGCCACGGGTCGTGAAAGGAGAGTTCTTTTCTCCTAGAGAAAAACCTGTCCTTGTGGCCGAAGAGCAAATACCATCGCTTACTAACGGCCCTACAGGAAAGATGGTTGTCAACTGGGATCCGGAGGAGGCAATTGAGAGCCAAGTCATCTGGGAGTCCAGGAACCAGGGCTTCTCCCTTCATAGCCAATTCATTGTCCCTAGAGGAATTATCTAGCAGAGAGGATCCTAGTTTGGCTATCCTGAATTTGGGGGACAATGTCATATTGGAATCCCCCAATTTATGTACTGGAGATTGTTCAGATGATACTCTTACCCTTTGCATCTTTAGCCTTGACAACTATAGAAGTGCTTCTTCAAAATATTCCATTTCCTTTCTCGAGTTACTCTGCATAAATTGAATGTAAATAGACTTCAGTTTTCTGACTTTATCATCATAAAGGCATATCACCATACAAATTAAGATAATAGGTACCAAATCCCATGAACTCCAAAATAAATATCTTCCACTCTAGCATATATATAGATATTCATACAAACAGGGACAATAAATATCTTCATAGCCAATTCATTGTCCCTAGATATTAAACGATATTGAATTTGAGATATTGAATTTTGTACTCGAATTCAATATCGTTTAATATCTTACAAAATCGAGTACTAATTATCTAATAAAGATAATTAAACATTACAAAACTAAGAATTTTTAGGTATTCTAAATCTTAAACAATAAGTTCTATTGTTTATTTGTTTAAGTTATGTAAATTATTTTAGATTCTAATTCTTTTAAATCACCAATTAACTATTACATTATGTGAGCCTATATATTAATTTTGAAAACTAAAAGTTAAGGGGGACGAAAACATATATATCTAATTAAAGTATGAAAATCTTATGAAATATTACATATATAGTAGAAAAAGTGGAAGTCCAAGGGGGGCGGTTGCCCCCCGCACCCCCCTTGGATCCGTCCCTGCATACAAAAGAGGTATCACCGTTTATGGATTATACACATATTTAGTTCTATATAAGAAAGGGTATTCCTCCATTAAGTAACTTTAGACACCAATAGTCGGTAGGAAATACTTTTATAATATTAGCCCATATTAATTATTGGAATAAAATATTCTAACATAGCCCATTTCAAGACTCAAGTTCGGCATCAACTGTTCAATTAGCAATCAACTTATTTCTTGACATATAAAAATACCCTTCATAATTAGAGATGAATATGACTGCTGAATAAAGGAATTCCGGGATTGATCACGTTTCTGATTCATTTTTTAAAGCTGAATCAGAACTAGTTTTCCAGGAATTGGAGAAAGAAACGATGTGAAGGTATTTATGAAGTGAAAAATTTAGAATAGAATCAGTTCTCTAGAACCTCTAACTTCTTCAAAACTAAAGCATACATCTTCTTCTGAAGTTCCCAATTTATATCCTGCTCCTATATGCTCCTTGAAGAGCATAGTTAGTGTATGAAATCAGTTCCAAACACCGCCAAATTGAGACAAAATCGCATACAAGTCAAGAACCATATTGGGTCTTGACCAAATTGACAAATACTGACTGTATAATCAAAGGAGCAAATGGGTATTAAGTATTAACTCTATCTTTTTTTAGAGTAAAAAAGATAATCTGGAAATTGGAAAACTGGAATCAATACCCAAACTGAAATTGGGTATTAAGTATTAACTCGATCTTTTTCATTTAACTCTATCTAGTTCCATGAAATTGGAAAACTGGAATTCGAAACAGGTATTGAATCATTCATTAATTCATTCATACCAAACAGGTAGTTAGAAACAACTTCAGGGGGGTTTAACTTCTTCAGAACTTCAGAAAACTAAAGTTCCCAACTTCAAGAAAACCAAAGCTCCCAACTTCAAGAACTAATAGAAAGAAGCTAAAATGGAATTGAAATTACAGAAGAGCAGAGCAATAGAGGTAGAAACCTGGATGAAAGAAATGGAATGGATGGGCGTGAAGAAGACAGTTCAGTTCAGTTGAGCTGTTGTTCTCATAAGAGGGGAAGGATCTGTTATTTTTGTTTTCATCACAAAAACTTTGCTGCGGCAGACATTATTTGTGTATTGAAACGCGGATTCAGCTCGACCATGTGGGAGCGTCCCATGGACACACGGCCCTTCGTACGAAACGCAAGTCCGCAACCAGCCATGTGCCCAATGCCCGACCATGGGAAATTCCAGATTTTGGTAGATGATACTAGTATTTGAGATATAAACCCACTTGTTCTCCAAAATTTTCACACTTTTTCAAAGTTTTCAAAACTTTTTAGAAGAAAAAAATGTGACTCATAAGTTTAATCCCTCGATAGTTGGTACGTTCTTATACAGCACCCTTATTTTTAAACTAGTTCACATGCGTGCATTGCGCGATGAGAAAATGCGCAATATATTATTTGTGTGCATTTGCCCACATAAGCTTCTTTAGGTTGGAGATTATAGTGTATGAAACATAATGGATTAGTATGTTAGAGTTATTGAAGAGTGTTCCAAATGTGCATCTAGTATTTTAGATAGTGATATAGCTAATGACAATTTTTATAAAAGAGTGACAGATTTTCTATGATTGTATACTGTCACCAACCCCGACTAAAATAAAAGTACTTTCTTATAAGTATAAAATATTTAACATCCCAAATATTATAATCCATACTAGTCAAAATTATGGTCTAAATTTTACGGAGTATCATTCATTGAGTTGAAAAATCAAATGGTAATTCAATTTAATATTGAATGGAGATTTATGCAAGGTTAATGGTGATAGAGTTAAGGGAAGGAAAGGTCTTGACATCTGACATCTTAAGTAGGGGTGGCACAAATACCGAACCAGCATGATACCGAACCGGACCGTATGGTACCGGACCGATAAACGGAGTTTGAAACGGATCTCAAATAATTTTGCCCCGAACCAGACCATATCGGTTCTAAACAATGCCATGACAGGTAACCAAACCGGTACCGGACCGAACTGGACCGAAGTATGGTTTAATACTTTAATTATTTAAATTCGTACTACTATAGTTTATCTGAAATTTATTAATTACCTCAGCTCATCCGTCCCAAATTGATTTGCAAAGTACGCAATTTTTTGTCAATGTTAATGTTAAGTCCTACCTGATGATAATTAATGCAATTATTAATAATTAAAATTTACATATTTAGATACCACATTGAAATCTCTTTAAAGTTGCAAAATCCAAATTAGAATATGCGTTGTACTTTATTTGAAAGGCCAAATTAGAATATAATTAAAAAGTGAAACCCTAATTAAGTGAATAAAAATAAATTATTTAACCAAAAAGGTTGACTTTGCAAATCAATTTGGAACGGAGATAGTATGAAATACGAAAATTGAAAATTTGTGTGGATTTTTTAAGATGGCTAAACTTTAATGTTTTCCTAAACACTTGGAAAAAATGGCATTGTTTGGTATTGGTATGGCATGGTACCGGCCCGTTTGAAAATGGACCGTACCGAACGGGTTTAGGTCTAAGACCGAACCGAACCGTTTCAATAGTAACGGTACGGGTATGGATTCGGAAAAATATTGGACCGGACCGTGCCCACCCCTAATCTTAACTTAACGGAGCAGACTTCTTAATTTCACGGATCAATTAAGTAACACGGGAAAATGAAAGGAGAGTACAAAGTGGAAAGTGTAGTGTACATTCTCCTGTTGCTATAATGTTTCACCAACACATTTTTCAAACCTAAAAGACCCTAATCTTCATTGACCTTTATAAGATTTTAGATAAGGGAGTGAGAGTACTCTTTCGCTAACGCAGTGCATTTTGTTGTTACTCCAAATCATGTTGAACAAACATGTTAGCCACTCAATGCCTTTCTCTCCCAAACTTTTCCAAGCCTCAAACGGTATGCCATCTGGACCCACTACTTTCTTCCGCCCTATCTTTCTCATAGCCTTCTTAACTTCTGTTGTTTGGATCCTTCTCACAAAGTCCCGATATATCATACACACTCGTATAGTAAGATCGTCAATTCTTTGCACTTTATTCCCGTTAAATAGTGTATCAAAGCATGACCTCCACCTATCTTTTATTACTTCGTTCTATATTAGTACCTTTTGATCGACATCTTTCACACACTTAACTTTTCGGATATCTTGAATCCTACGGTCACGAAGGCAAGCAAGTCTCTAAATATCTTTTATTTTTTTTTTCTCCTTCCTTAAAGTCCAATTTTACATATATATGAATTTCCGTCCTAATAAAGGTAAGGTACTTGATCAGAAGTTTTACATGTTATCAATTTTTTAAGTTAAAAAATCTTGTGGTTATAATTTTCAATAACTAAGAAAGTATTAACACAATTGCAAATCTATCTAAGACTTATAATTTTAGTCATTATCGCATTGAGTTTAGAAAACATCCTAAAAAAGAGATTGAGTTTAGAAAAATAAAATATCACATTTAGGAAATGGAACACTATTTTTACCTTTTTATTTTTATAAAATAACTTTGAAGAACAAAATTAACAGGAATTTGGATTATTTATCTATTAGGTGGGGAAAACACGGATAATTCATTTCTCAATAGAATGTAATAAAAAATGTATTATATAGTTTTTTACAATAATTAGTACGTAACTTTTATTATATAATTTGATACATAATATTTTGTCCAAATATAATGTATTTGATAAATATTTTGATACTTACTGCAAAATATATTTTGATACTTACTAACTAATAGGTTATGTATTATTTGCAATATTTTGATACTTACTGCAAAATAATACATAACCTTTATATATATTTTGATACTACAAAAATAATTAAATAATTTATATAATTATTTGTCTATAAAAGTTACGTAGTATCAAAATATTGCAAATAATATGGAGTAAGTAAAGGTTCTCAAAAAAAGGTGGATTATAAAAGATTGTACAATATTTTGTTTCCATATCAATATGCAATAAAAAAATAGAATGTAATAAAAAATAAAAAGTAATTGAATAATTATTATATATGATGACATGGCAGGATTATGTGGCACACCGTATACTCTTAAAAAGTTCCTCTTTTATATATATATATTGATTGTGTTAGAGGTCTATTGCAATAGACCACTATGCAAAATTGAAATTTATTTATGCTTTACTCCGTATAATTTATGAATTACAATTTATGCTTTACAATTTATGAATTACGATTAATGCAATTGTGCTATAAATCTTATAATAATGCTTTTTTTATACATTTATTTTTTTTAGTGATTAGACATAAAGTGAAGCTATAAAGAAAGCATTCACACACTGAAGCAATTTTGCAAGGATTTTAGCTAGTGCAAATTTGCAGGACATATTATCTGCTTTTTCTCACTAATTATTTTGGTATTTAGATGTAAACACTAATTTTATCACTTTCAGTTTAGCCAATATCTAATATCTAATTTATTATCAACTTTAATAGTTATAGTTATGCTTTCATAAAATTTTCAGCACTCTCTCAAAAAGTCTCCTGGTTCCGCCACTGTATTGAAGTTTACACTGTGCATCTTTATATTATTTGTATTGCATATTGAAGTTCAAAGTGTTGCATATTATTTTATCTCTAATATATATTGGCGGCGTCTTTTTTAATAATTTATTTAATTGACTTTAGAATTGAATTTTTAAACTGAAACTTTGTGAACATTATAAAAACAATTAGATATCATGAAAAACATGCTTGCAAATTTTCATAAAAAAGTTTTACTCAAAAGCACTTCAAATGGACTTGATCAGATGGGACTCAGGTCAATCGCATGAGAAAAGTTCTCTCTATAATACAGAGTACTTGACAAAGAGATGTTGCTTGGTATCAAAGAGAAAGCTAAATCATAGTAAACTCATTTTTACATGGGAGCAAGGTCATGGGAATTTGGAAGTAAAAGCACCATGGACACAAACCAGGTACGTACAAAAAATCAATTCATTTTTTTAATTTGATTTTTTATATTGAAAATATAGAACACATTTCATGAAGTGAGGACAGATCTAATGTAGGTAAAATAGTATACTTCATCATCTTTATTAATTTATATATCACACATAAATAATTATATCAAGTAGAATAATCCTTCATTATGATAAATTAAACGTGTTTAATCTAATCAACATTTAATTAATTCATTCCATTTTCAATATTATGAATTACTGTTTACCTAATAAAATATATCAATATCTAATTCATTCTAGCAACTCAGTTGGAAGTTATAGTCACTTGTTGTGTGACCCACACGGTCTTATATATTGAATCTATTGACCACTAACCAAATTAAGATTATAGTAGAATACATAGACGATTTACCAGACAAGCTTAATATTTAAAACGTTGGAAAATCTTGTTCCTCACTCTAGGGTTTTTAACCTACGGAGCTTTTGTCGTGAGAAGGTTGCTGCTCGTCGTAGGGAGCACCGTTATGCTGAGGCTGTGGCAGCCCTGTGTGGTAGCGAGTCTACTTTTTCTTTCTTTTGACATTTTGATCGAGTGCAGGTTCAAGAAAGGATAACCATGGCTTCTATGGATGATGTAGAGCAGTGTTGTCTCATTCCAGCAATTGAGGAGGAGGCTGAATGGTTAGTTTTTGGTGGATCGAAAAGGGTGGAGGGCGGTGGCGGTAGTGGAGACGGCACAAGCGACAAGCAGAAAGGAAGAGGTGAAGAGTTGAGTAAGGGAAAAGACAAATCGGCAGTCCCCCCCCCCCCTCTTGAACTGCGCGCCGCCTTGGAGCGATCAATGTGCTGGGGTTTGGGAGATTTATCAGTTATTTTATTTTTAAGGTCTTATTTTCGTGTTGTGTTTTACATTGTTGCGCTCCATTTTTGTTGATGTCTTTAGTTTTAGGTTTACAACAACGATTGACAATTCTGCTAGACATTATGTCATTTGAAGGATCTATTTGGCCAGCGATTGTTGTGTCACACCGGTTTGGTGGTTAGCGATTCATATTGCTCTTTCAGGGGCGATCGCCTCTACATCTAACCATAGGATTGATATTGCTAGTTCGTTACGGATAGTTGTTGTCAGTGTTGGTCTCTATGAGTTTGTTGTAACGATCCGATTTCTAATGATATTAATATAAGCGGTTTTTCCTTTCAAAAAAAGAACGTTGGCTAGGAATATGGGTGGGTCCGTGAAACCGGAAATCAAAAAAGGGAATCGACAAAAACCGAAGCACAAACATAACAAACCAACCTGCAAGAAAAGTGAAACCGAAGTAGAAAAAATGAATCGGACCATAGTTGTTTGGTTTCGATTTAAGTTTTCACATCTTCAAAAACAAGGAAAAATTGATAGTAATAATCCCAACTATTGGAGGTCCGCTTATAATAATCCCAACTATCGATTATTTCTGAATAATCCCAACTTTAGGAACCTTCCGCCAATAATGGTCCCTATAAATAAATTCTTATAGTTTCTGAAGTGGATGAAGAGAGATATAGCAAGTAATCTCTATAAATAATCCCAACTTTTAATTTTTACACTTAATTTCTATTTAAAATTCACTTTTTAGGAGGTAATATCTGGTCATGGACCATTATTGGCGGACGGTCCATATAGTTGGGATTATACAAAAATAATCAATAGTTGGGATTATTATCAGCGGACCGGCAATAGTTGGGATTATTATTTTCAATTTTTCCCAAAAACAAACCATTTAAAATAATCGTTAAGTATAATGTGTTTAGTTCTTAATTCTTAATTCCAAAAAGTTAATGTTTGATGTTAGTTTTCTTATTATTTTTAAGATATTATCCAAATTCACAATATATGAGATAAAGTAATACATCAACTACAATTTAAACAATCCATTACAACTTTTATTTATATATAAAGGAATCAGTCCTTTAGTAGTTAGAAGCAACTTTTAAAGCTTCAAAAGAGATTCAAGTGTGCATCTTCACCACCCATGTCAAAAAACTAATGCCTAATTGATTCTCCAAGTAATGACATCCATATTCAAATCAAATGATTCAGTTATAACTTATAGACAAAAAAAATCAACAAAAATAATCAGTTGTTTATCATGCAATTACTTTAGTTTGGAAAAACTCTTTAAATAATCCAAATGTATATATCATTAGTGCATTAAATCAGAAATTTAGGTTTTAAAAAAACAAAAACTGAACTTTATAAATATTCTTAAGTTAGTCCAGTAAATAGGCAAAGAGATTATTTCACATTAGGCTTTTTTAACCTTTCTCTCTGGATAAAATGAAGAAGCAAAATTCATTTCATCCTCTTCTCTGCAAATGCAATGACCAATTAACAAAAGCTATTACAAAGTTATTAATAAAAGGTAATTTAATAAAAGGTTTTTTGTTAGGGTATTTTAAGGCCAATTATCTATTTCTTTTGTCTTCTTATACCCTTAAATTGTGGGGAATTGAAGTGATAGATTTTCATCGGCAGAAAACGGTTTTTGGAAAACAACCCATTTTTATCAATTACTGAAAAGAAAGATGCATTTCTAATGAGAAACAGCAAAATAGTTCATTCCAAAAGAAAATAATCCTCCTCATTTCTTTCCATTAGTAAAAAAATGATGAAAGAAATAGGGGATTCAACCCAAATATTGAAAAGCTCTGCTATTTGTGTCTAAAAGCTGAAAATGTAGTTTAGCACCTTTTTATTAGGTTTTTGTAATCAAACTTAGAAAATCTGTAAAATGGAATATACCTAAAAAAGATCCTTGAAGCATAAAAATAATGGTTATTCTCCTCCGGTATACCCCATGACTATGGTGTATAAACTTCAAGCAGGACATATACTAAATCAACAACAATATAATTGATTAGAGAAGCAATCACCGTAGTTGCCCCTTTAGCTCCGGAAGAAGTGTCAATGGTGGGTTTGGCTTTGTAGAAGACAAAAGAAGGGAAGGGTGGCGATGGAGGGAGGTAATTAAAAATTACTCTTCAAAGACGACTTTAAATCTGAATGTAAATCTGTAATGATTTCAACTCCTACTATATGTGTTATTGTGTTTGTTATATACTTCATCTTTCTATTTATTAACTTGCCATGCATATATCTATGTTGAGTTTCCAAGGGAACGAACCAGAAAAACATGAGTGAGTATTATCTGCTTTCTGTTCCATCCAAATGCAATTGATGCATCTATAATATCAGAATTGAAAAATAGCCTTCGACTTGTTTACGACAAAATCATCCTCAGCTTCTTTGCACCAAAACATTGTGGATTTGTGTTTGCTGCCCATCTTCCATTGGAATTGAAAAGAAATCTTTGGCTTCTTTACAGAAAAATCTTGTGGCCGGAACTTTTATTTGCAGCGACGAAAGGAAGTCTATACGGGTGAAAAAGAGAGAAAGGAATTAGTGAAATAGTACACCATCTAAGCGTGAAAAGGGATCTAACGGTGATAAATCATTTTAGTTGAACGGCTGAGATGATTTTGTATCGCTATTAACTTATTATTATATTATTATATTATTATTATATTATTAAGTATGATTATGATTATTCGCAAAAAATGATTAACAAAAAATTCTCCCTAACTTTTTCTTTCTTTTTGGGATAATCGAGGTATTCTCCCTAACTTTTTCTTTCTTTTTGGGATAATCGAGGTTCCCTATTCTTCTTATTCAAGCATGGTTCCAAAGGAGCCACTTCTACATGTTTCAAGGAGTTAATTTAAGAGAAATTTATATGTATGTGATAATATTCATAGATTCCCTGTGTATAGCTAATAAATTCAATCACGACTTCATAGGAGCAATAATTAAACTGAAGGGGGAAATCTAATACAAGGAAAACATATACCATTACAAACTATTTCCATGTAATCTTCACACTTTTCGGTTTTTGACCTTTAATAAAATCTTCTTACTTATTTAGTAAATAAAACGGTGCCAAAAAGTGTCAAACAATTCTAGTGTAGCTCATTTCATTAATATAAGTACAAATCAAAATGGAAAGATTAAGTAGGGACATAGGGAGTATCATTACTTTAGGAATAAAAAACTATTTACTCATATTTTAAGAATCACCAGTTGTTTTTGTTAAATTTTCTCTTAATTTTTTTCCTTAATTTTCTCTTAGTTTAAGTTCATTTGCCAAATCTTTTTAATTAAAATTATGAGCCCATTTGATAGTACTAGTACATGTCTTCTCCTTATCAATCTCATCAAATAATATTTTTACTAACATGTAATTTTAGATTCGCAATCTTTATATTTTCGTTCCTTGTTTGTCTAAAAATAACCGCTTTTCTCACAAAAAATTGAAATAGCTGATTCTAGTTAACTGCATACGTAATTTTTATGACTCCGTATTAAACTTCGTCAAAGTATAAATTATTAATTCAGGGAGCAGGAAGTATATATGCTTTCTAGGAAGGAGTCGAGTACATTGTACAAATGGTCTTTCCATCCCATCACTTTGACCTGCTACGGAGCGAACCAACTTTTTCTTTCTTCTTTTGACTTTTTGATTAATCACAATTTATTTTTAATAAATCACAATTAATATACATTTAAAAATGAAAATTAGAGATTGTGGGATGTAATGGGAGGATTCCCTTTTCTTCCCACCTCCCACTGCTCAATTCACACTTCAAAGCTTACTCTAGTCTCTACAGAGAAGAGAGAACTCCATTTTTTCTCCCTCTCTCCCTCTCTCCCTCTCTTTTTCTCCTCAAGTTCATATTAGATTTGTACCCAGAGAAGATTTGCAGAGAGGTAAATTCATTTGACACCATTCTTTATATAGGTTATCTTGAAAGAGGATAAAAATGTTATCTTTAGCATTGCTCTTATTGATTTTCTGTAATTCACAAGCCCTGGTGTGTTCATTGAATGAAGAAGCTAAAGCCCTTTTGTCTTTCAAACAATCTATTCTAGAAGACCCAGAAGGGTCACTAATTAACTGGAGCGATTCTGATGAAACCCCTTGTTTGTGGAATGGCATTACTTGCAAGAACCAGAAAGTTGTCTCTTTGAGCATCCCCAAGAAGGATCTATACGGTTTTATCCCTTCCTCTCTTGGATTACTTTCTGAACTCAGACATCTGAATCTGAGGAGCAATAGGCTGTTTGGAAGCTTGCCTGCTGGTCTTTTTAGTGCCCCCCGCTTACAAGGTTTGATCCTGTACGAGAATTCCCTGTCTGGGCCATTACCATACGAGGTTGGGAGACTGAAATACCTTCAAACTCTCCGTGTTGCTCATAATTTGTTCAATGGATCTTTGCCTGCAACTCTGATTGAGTGTAAAAGGTTGAGGAATCTTGACTTGAGCGTCAACAATTTCAGTGGGTCTTTTCCGGACGGTTTAGGGGTTAGTTTGGCTTTACTTGAAGACCTAGACCTTTCACACAATGAGTTTAGCGGCTCAATCCCGCGGGATTTGGGAAATTTGTCTCGTTTGGAAGGAACTCTTGATCTTTCTCATAATAAATTCAGTGGCATGATCCCGCCAAGCCTAGGTAACCTGCCCGAGAAGGTTTACATTGATCTCACTTTTAACAACCTGAGCGGTCCGATTCCTCAAAATGGTGCTCTAATGACCAGAGGGCCAACTGCATTCCTTGACAACCCCGGTCTATGTGGTCCACCTTTAAAGAATCTGTGTTCTTCAGAAGCCCCGCAACCGCAAATCGCACCGTCATTGTACCCCCACAGACCCAAAAATGACCCCCCGCAACCCACAATTGATAAGGACGGTAGCGGTCTTAGAAGAGGAGTAGTGGCTGCAATTATTGTCAGTGATGTGGTCGGGATTTGCCTTATAGGCCTGCTGTTCTCGTACTGTTACTCGAGAATATGTAATTGTGGGAGGAGAGAAGACGAAG